CCTTTTTTTTAATATCTAATATTTTTACATGCTGCTAGTGAGAGAACCTGTTGTTAAAATATTTGAATCCCACCACTGCAAGTATGTATGATGCTTTCTTGTAGAAATATAGATTTTTGTTAATTTCATCACACTTGTCCTGTCTCATTATTTCACATACAATCAGAAACTCAGCCAAGTTATTAAAACACTAATGCACATACTTCCTGGTCGAACCTACTGTTATTAGCAGTCCTGTCTAATGCTTGTGGAAAAATTAGTTCAATCTGAAAATACCACAATCATAAATACACATTTATAGCTTGCATCTTACATGATAGTGCCAAATTTCCAAAAAAAAAAACTGAAAACAGGGCATCATTACTACCATATACCAATTTTATAAATATATTTGTTCTCAAAAATCCCCAATATTTCAAATATTCTGAGTTGCATTTAAACTTTTACGCACCTTATACCTTGTGCAGTGAAGTTGCAAAACAGATCACTGCTGAGCACTTCTTCAAACTATTGACAAATCCCTTGGTGACTGAGGTTATTTAGGAAAGAGGAGTCACTTATATCTGCTTTCAGTTGGGTAGAAACATTTCCATGTGTGTTGGTGTGGTAAAAAAAATTCACATCCTCATACCTATTAATTATAAAAAAAAGCATCAGGATTACAGTCGTGAAAAAGCAATTAAAATTTTACTCTTTACTGTCTCATTTTACATAAAGTTGGCTAAGTTGTCAACATTATGCTAATGCATTTCTTCACACCCTTTTCTACAAAATATAAACATTTTTTATTTGGCTGAGAATTCTTCTACAGTAGGTGACTGTGACTTGTTGACAAAAAATTTGACAATATATAGACAGCACACAGTCCACTTGTTTTAAAATAATATATTCAAAACGAGTTAAACGTATGTACAAAAATTCTTTACACTATGGATATCAACGTTGTATCTCAAACTCTAAATAATTCTCTTTTCTTGTCAAAAGTCCATTTAGGCTGATTCAATTACTTTAGAATCCAACTGATGAGACAAACTCTTTTGCTCTGCTCTTATCACTTACTCTAATAATTCACTTACTCTACCCTCGGGGTTACCACTGTTGTATCTTGAACCCTGTGGGTTACCACTGTTGTATCTTGAACCCTGTGGGTTACCACTGTTGTATCTTGAACTTTAAATAATTCTCTTCTTTTGTCCACACAGACGGGTTCAATTACTTTAGAACCCCCTTTGACAAGACAAATTATTCTCCTTACCTCTATTAAACTGTGAAATTCACTTTAAAATATTGCCCGTTATGGCTAATCACTCACACACACCAGCTAACTTCACAATTTCTTTCACTTACTATTTCTCTGACCGAACTTCACTTGACTTCACTTAACTTTGCTTCTTTAGTTCTTAACTTGTGCTTGCTTGGTCACCTATATTCATATGTTGATCACTGAGGCCTCAAACTTTCTGTAAAGTCTGCGAATGGCACTGATTTAACAATACTCAGTTAAGGTAACGAGAAAAAGTTCGAGTAATATGACGTCTACATTATTAGTAAAGCCTCGACAACAATGTAATTGCAAATACAACGTACGACTCTTACCAAGTTATGTAACCAAAGTTGTCAACACTGTCACC